GCGCGTTTGCTTGGCGCGGACTGGGTTCGCCAGAGCCTCGGTTCGCTGGGGTTTAGTTCGCTGGGGCGTGGTTTGCCGGGGCCCAGTTTGCTGGGGCTCACTTCGCCTGGGCTGGGCTCGCGCGACTCGAATTCTAGCCTGGTTTGCTGGGGCTCGGTTTGTCCGACTCCGTTCGCCGGGGGCGCGCCTCGCCGGGGCTCGTGTCGCTGGGGCTCGTTTCGCCGGGGCCTGGTCGAGGCTCGCTTCGCCGGGCGCGCGCGGGATCCAGATGGGGGGGGGGGAGGGGGCAGGCAGGCGGGCCAAAGCGGGCGGGTCGGATCGGGCGGGCGGGCGCTACGCGGGCGGGCGGGGTCGGGCGGGCGGGGCGCGGCGCCTCATCAAATTCTGGCACGCGAGCCTTAACGGGCGGGTCAGATCGGACGGGCGGGCCCTAATAGGCAGGTCGGATCGGGCGGGCGAACCCTGGCGGGCAGGTCGGCTCGGGCGGGCGGGGCGTCAAAATATGGCGCATCATCGAACTGGCACGCGCGACTCTTCGCGGGCGGGCTGGGTCGGGCGGGCCCTGGCTGGCGGGCCGGGTCGGCGGGCGGGCGGAGCCACGCGGGTCGAGACTCGGGCGGGTTGGGCCCGGGCGACTCGAGATGGGTGAATTGGGGGCGGGCGAGTCGAGCTGTGGGCGAATCGAGCCAGGCGAATCGAGCTGGGCGGATCGAGACTCGAGCGAAGCGAGCCCGCGCCCCGTGCGTTTCCTCCTGCCTCGCGAGCAAGTGCGTGACTAACGTATTGATCCGATCGCGCCGGGGTTTGTGCTGGCGTCTTTTCTTGGGCGACGTTTTCTCGAGCGCGGCCCCCGCGCATCGCGACAGCTCCGTTCGGTCCGCTGGGCCCCGCGCGTCGTTCGACCGGCCGCGGGCCCTCCGGCCCGCGGGGCCGCGGCGGGGCGCCGCTGCGCGCCGGCAGCGCAGCCGCCGGCGCGGGCGCGCGCGGGCCCGACGAGGGCGTTCGGCGCCCCGGGGCGCAGAAGCACCGCAAGTGGCCCGACGGCGCGCCTTCGCGCGCGACGCGCGGGGGCGATAGAACGACGCGAAGATCGGGACAAAATCGGATCGGGATAACTCGAAATCTCTGAGAATCGGCGGGTTTGGAGGACGTATTGGGCGCCGCGGCCGCTCCGGAGCGTTCCGGAACGCTCTGAGAGCGCTCCGGAACGCTCTGGAGCGATTTATCCCGATCCCCTAGCCCTGTTTTAGTCGAGCGCGCCCGACGCGTCGTCGACGCACCGTCGACGCGTCGGCGTCGCGCCGGGCGCGTCGAGGCGCCTGGGCGACGCGTCAACAATGCGCCATCGACGCACGGTCAAAGCGCCGTGCGCATTGAGGCCGCGTGAGACAGGCGCTCGTACATCCCCTTCCCGCGGAGGAAGACGATATCCGAGCGGATCCAATGATCCCGTCGCCGATCCGGCACAGGGGGGCGGCTTCGATCCGCGGGGTCATTATCGATCCGCGACTCGTTTTCGATCCGCTGGCCACGTTCTCATTGAACTCTTCCGCGTGTTTTCAATTCGTGGACGCATTCTTCGACTCGCGGATTCATTCTCGATCCGCGGATTCATTCTCGGCCCGGGGGGTCCTATTTTGGCCCGCGGGCTCGTTTTCCGTTCCGCGGATTTATGCTTCGAGCCGCGGGTGCATCGTGCACCGCTCAATAATTTGTCGATTATGATTGTTTCCCTGCGCGGACCGACGGGCATCCGCGACCCACTCGCGACGCGCCGAGGGCGCATCGCGGATGAGTCGCGGGCGAGGGTCGGCGCGGCTCGAGCGTCGCCCGCGCGTCGTCGACGCATCGGCGACGCGGCGTCTTCTTCCGGCCTGTGCACCCTGGCCTCGCCCGGGGGGCCTCGAGCGAACTCGAGAGCACGGCCCTCGCCCGAGTTTCGCGCGCGCCCCGCCAGCTGCGTCGAGGGCGCCGCCGATCCCTCCGCCGCGGCCGACGCGGCGCGGAAGCAGAGGCCACCCGAAGCGGTCGAATGGCACGCGAGGGAAAAGTCGACTACACGTAAGAGTGACCTTTCGCCGCAGTGACCTGTGGTGCGGGCACACTTGGGCCCCCCGACCACCGATTGCGAGGCGATAGTAGCGCCTGGCGCGCCCGAGCTTGGCCCCCCCGCGCCCCCCCCCAAAAGCCGCGCACCAAAGGTCACTCCTACCTATAGGGTCACTCTTGCGTGTAGCCGACGAAGCGGCGCGGGCAGGGGCCGCGAGAGCGGGGCGCCCGCCGCCCGGGCATCGCGAGGGGCGCCCGCGCGAGCGCGGCGGGAGCCGCGTCGCCGACCGCGCCCCGATTCGCGCGGGGCGCTCTGCGAGCCGGTCGCCCACTTGCATGGCGCGCGCAGGTCTGGGGCGGCCTCTGATGTCCTCCTCCTCCTCCTCCTCCTCCTCCTCCTCCTCCTCCTCCTCCCCCCCCTTTTAGCTTTTCCCTTCCTTTCGCAGTCTCGCAGCCTCGCAGCCTCAAGCACAACACCTCCTCCTCCTCCTGTTCCTCCTCCTCCTCCTCCTCCTCCTCGGGGGGATTGGGAAAGGGGGGGGTTACGAGATTTGCTGCATGCAGCTGGTTTCGGCCTCGCCGAGGGGCCCATTCCTCGATGCAACGGCCGCCTCCGGCGCCGGGAGGCGCCGGGGAAATCAGCTGCGCGAGCTGATACTCAAACCCCCCCTTTGCTATCCCCCCCTTTCGCCCGACCCGATCTGAGCGCCCGCCCACGGCGACGGGGGTCGCGTCGCGCGGGCGCTCAAGTTTGTCGCTCGGCAAGCGCGAGGCCCGGGCGCACATTTACTCGGCCGCCCGCTGCCAGGGCGTTTTTTTTTATGGAAGCGCGTCGAGGGGGGAGTTGTGCAGGTGGTCTTGCTGGTGGCCATGCTGATGATTGTGCTGGTGGTCGCGCTGTTGTGTGCGTGGCGCATGGGTCTGCGTCTCCGGTTATGCCGGCGTTTGCGCGGGCGGTCTTGGCGCGGTCGTGCTGGCGTCAGCGCTGGCGGTTGCGCTGGTGGCTTTGATGGTAGTTGTCGCGCTTGGTCCTGCTGTTGCGCTGCTCGGCTGTCGTTCATGCTGGTCGCGCTGGCGCCCGTGCTGTTGGCAGTGCGCATGTCCGCGCTGGCGACTATGCTGATGCTTGTGCTTGCGGTCGTGCTTGTTGTCTTATTAGCGGCTGCGCCGAGGCGCGCTGGTGGCTATGATCACGGGTCTGTTGGTGGTCGAGATGACGATTTGTATGGGTGGTCGCGTAGATGTTCGTGCACGTGGTCGCGCTGCTTCTTGTGCTGGTGGTTGTGCTGGCGTGCGCGCTGGTTGTCCTGCTCGCCGTTGTGACCGTGGTCCTGCTGGACGTCGTCGTATTGGCGATCGTGCTGATGACTGCGTTCATGGTAATGCTGGTTGTTGCGCTGTTGGTTGTGTTGGCCTTGCTAGCGGTCGTGCTGGCGCTCGTGCTGGTGGCAGTGTGCGTGGTCTTACTAGGTGTTGTGATCGTGATCGCGCTGGTGGCTATGATGGCGGCTTCGCTAGTGATCGGGATAATCATTTGCCTGGCTGTTCGTGCTGGTGGTTGTGCTGTTGGTTGCGCTGGTGGTTGTGCTGGTGGGCGTGCTGGTGGTTGTGTTGTTAATCGTGCAGGTGGTCGTGGCGGTGGATGTGCTGGTGGTCGCGCTGGTGGTCCTGCTCGTGGTTGCGCTAGTGGTCCTGCTGGTCGTCGATCGTGGCGGGTGACGGCGGTCGTGCTGGCGGTTGTGCTGGTGGTCGTGCTGACGATTATGATCGCGGTTGCGCTGGTGATCGTCGTTCGGATCGTCTGTTTGGTGGTCGTGTTTGGTCTCATGCTGATGGTTGCGTTTGGTGGTCGTGTTTATGGTTATGCTGGTGGTCGTGCTGGTAGTCGTGCTGGTGGCCGCGTTGGTGGTCGTGCTGGTGTTCGCGCTGGTGGTCCTGCTCGCGGTTGTGCTGGCGGCCTTGCTGGCGATTGCGCTGGTGTTTGTATTGTCGGTTGCCGCGTCTGTGCCGCTTGTTGTGCGTCGGGTCGCCGTCGGTGCCGTCATCGTCGTCGCCGTCGCTTCCGTCGCCGTCGTCGCCACCCGCGTTGTTCCATGTTTCGCTCGCGATTCGCAGCCGTGCAACAGTTCTGTTAGAACGTTTTGTTTTCGGCGTCTGTCGGGTGGGGGCGCTGTTTTGTCCACCTTCGCCCTGTTTCAGAACAGCGCGCGCGATGCCGGCCAGTGTTTTCGTTTAAGCATCGTTGCCAATCTAATTCATGAAACGCAATTCATTTCGGGCCCCTGCACGGAGGGCGGCTTGTTTCCATGATGACGTTTAATCCGCGCGGCAATCCCGAGGATGGAACGCGGCTCCTTTCCAAAACCGGTCTGTCGTTGGGCATTTCCTGCAAGTCAATGACCCACTTTGTCGTAATCCTTGTAGCTCTAAGGTTGGACGGCCGCTTTGTTTCAAAACTTAGCGCCCATTTGAATTGAGGGCCCCATCGGGTGCTCGTCTTCATGGGGGGCTCTTCGCGCAGTGAAAGAGAATGCTTGCACGTAGGGATTCATGTGGGAGCTGGGGGCAACATGGTGTATTGCAGCAGCAGCATCGTTGATAAGTTTCGGGTTCAATTTGGTTTTCCTTTTCCTCCTCTTCCTTCCCTTGCCCAAGCAGGGTTGGGTGGGCGGGGGGAGGGAAGGAGGTGGTCCGTGGAGGAGGAGGAGGAGGAGCAGGAGGAGGAGGAGGAGGAGTTGGAGTTGGAGTTGGAGTTGGAGGGGAAGGAGGAAGCGGAGGAGGAGGAGGAGGAGGAGGAGTGGGAGGAGGAGGAGGAGGAGGAGGAGGAGGAGGATGAGGAGGAGGCGGAGGGGACGGAGGAGGAGGAGGAGGAGGAGGAGGAGGAGAAAGAGAAGCAGACGGTGCAGGGGGATGATACGAGGCCTGGGCGTGGGGGCCCCAACTCCGCGCAGGACGACAACCGGCGCAAGCGGGAATCGTTGCTGGAGCAGGTGGTGCGGACCATAGCCAAGGTGGAGGCGCCCGCCCCACCGCGGGGCGCCGGGGCCCTGGTTTTGGAAGCGTTCCTGCGGCCGCCGTCGGTCGTCGCCGTCGTCGTCGTCGCCGTCGTTGCCGTGGTCGTCGTCGTCGCCGTCGTCGTCGCCGTCGGTCGTCGCCTGCGGCCGCCGTCGGTCGTCATCGTCGTTGTCGTGGTCGTCGTCCTCGTCGTCCTTGTCCCCGTCCTGGTTTTCGTTTTCTTCCTCGTTGTCCTCGTTGTCCTCGTTGTCGTTGTCCTCGTTGTCATTTTTCTCGTCTGCTTCCCCTCCTCCTCCTCCTCCTCTTCCTCCTCCTCCTCCTCCTCTTAGTCATTCTTCTCGTTGTCGTCGTTGTACTCGTCGTCATCGTCGTTCTCCTCCTCCTCCTCCTCCTCCTCCTCCTCCTCATCGGGCACTCCTTCTACCTGGTCGTGTGACCGCCAGGGCCGACGCGCCTGGCACGCTGGACAGGAACTTCGGGCGGCGGGAGCGTCTTGGACCTTCTTTTTCCACTCCTCACTCCGCCCTCTCCCCCTCCCTCTGCCCCCTTTCCCCATCCATCTCCGTCCCCTCCCCCTCCCCTTCCATCTTCTCTCTTCTCTCTTCTCTCCTCTTCTTCTTCTCCCCCCCCTCCCCGTTCCTTCCCTCTATGTCCCTTTGGAGGGACGGTGTAGGAGGAGGAGGAGGAGGAGGAGGAGGAGGAGGACGAAGACGACGACTACGACGACGACATCGGCATCGACGACGACGACGACGAAGACGAGGACCACGAAAACGACGACCACGAGGCGAAGGATCAGGAGGAGGAGGAGGAGGCCGAAGTGGAGGAAGATGAGGAGTATTTTGACAGGCGCAGGGAGCCACTGCCCACCTCTGCCTCCAGCCTGGGCAGCATGCAGGTGCTGCAGCACGCGCTGGTCAAGACGGAGTCGGACTTCGTGCGGCTGGACGCGGACACCGCCACATTTAAGGCACAGCAGGAGGAGACGAATTCTTCCTGTCCTCACTCCTCATCCGCCTCGCCTGGCTCCCTCAGCTCCCTCTCGTTCTCCTTCTTCATCCTCCTCCTCTGCCTCTGCTCCTCCTCCGTCTCCTCGTTCCCCCTTTCCTCCTCTTCCTTCCTTTTTCTTCCTCCTTCTCCTCCATCCACTGCCTCTTCCTCTCCTTGGCAGCCGGTGGGATGAACAGATTGGCTTATGCATGCGTGCATGCGGATGCGACCAAAGTGACGTTGTACGCATGCTGCACGTGCCGAAGATAGCATGGTATGTGTGCAAGTTTGCGTGGGCATTGGAGCCTTGCCACGAGGCCTGCCTCCAATAGGGAATCCTCCAGAAAACTGTCCCCGCCCACCCCAACTCCCTCAGGCTGGTAGCATGAGCCTGCACTCAGCACGTGCTTTAGTATTTTTTGCTCAGTCATCCCTGACTCCTGCTCCCTGCTGACAGCTCCTGCTTACTGCGTCCTCCTTCACATCCTTCTCGTGACGGGTGGAGTTTATGCAACAGGTGTTGCCACCCATGCTTGAAGGGCATGACTGTGGAGGTCGATACCTGTGCTTTCGAGCAGTGACTTGTGAGCAGGGAGCGATAAATATTAAAACCTTCAAATTATCCTCGGCATCTGTCTGCTCCTCCCCCCTGCATCCTACCCATCTTCCTCCTGCCTTCATCCTTCTTCTGCTCGGCAGCCTCCTTCAATCCTACTTATCGTTATTGTCCTTCTCCTCCTCTGACTATCCTCTCCCTTTCCACACATCCCTGCTTTATCCACTTATTTGTCATCCTCATGTTTTTCCTTTCCCATGCTCCTCAACTCCCTTTCCTTGGGAAACAGGCTCCCACGTCTCCCCCAGCTGCGCTGCACCGGTGTGGAGGTCTGCACGGCGCTTCTCTGGCGTCCTGCCCATTTCCCTACTCCCACTTCTTCTCGACTCTCCCTCCTTCATCCTCCTCAACCCTTCTTTATCCTCCATCTCCTCAATCCTTCCTCCATCCTTCCATCTCTCGCCCTTTATCTCCCCTCGTCGCTCGTGTGGTTCCCGCTCTCCTCTCCGCTCGTCCCTCATCCTGCCCACGCTTCTTCTGCTGCCGCATCCTGCCCCACCTGCGTCTTGAGCCTTCCCTGTGCGCGTCTGCCTGGCGGGCATACGATGGTCAGAAATGGGGGCTGAACGTGCGAGACGAACCCTCGACGATCAGGCAGCAGGGGAAGGCGTAATGAGAGGGAGAGAAGGGGGGAAGGAGAAGGGGACCCGAGGAGAGGAGCGTAGAAGGGAGGAGGGGAGCGGAGAAGGGAGGAGGAGGGAGGAGGGAGGAGGAAGGGGGCAGAAGGAGTGGAGGGAGAAGGCGGGAGAGCCAGGAGGGAGAGGAGGGCGAGGCGCTGGACGGCAGGACCTCGCGGGAGGAGCAGCGAGCACGAGGACGAGGCTGGCCGCGGCGCCTGGGCCGCAGCTGGAGCGGGGCGCGCTGCCGGCAGCGCCAGCACAGCTGCCGGCCTCTGCCGGCACTGGCCCCCGCACCCCGCGTGCCTGCGGCGCAGGCGCACGGCGCCCCTCCGGCACCGCGCATCTGCCGCGGCGCCGGCCCGGGGGCAGCTGCGCCCGGGGCGGCGGACGCCCGCCCCGGGCCCCCGGCGCCGGCGGGGGCGGCCCCCCGCGGAGGCCCGGCGGGGTCCCCGCACCGCCGCGGCCCGGCGGCCTCCCGGGCGCAGGGCGCCGGAGAGGGGCGGTCTGCCGGCCCCGGCCCGCGGCGGCCGCGGGCGCTGCCGCCGGGCCACCGGCCGCCGCCGGCCCGCGGGGTGGGGCTCGGGATTCGTCGGGCACGTGGCGAGGTCCGAGCCCTGCCCCTCCTCCTCCCCCACCTCCTCCTCCTCCTCTCCTGACTCCTCCCTGACTCCGGATCCGCCCTACTTTGGGGAAATTCGTAAGTAGGGCTTGGAATTTCCGCCTTACTTTTCAAGCCCCACTGATGCCAATTTCCGCCCTACTTTTCTGTCGCTGTTTCCGCCCTATTCTTGTGGGTTTCCGCTCTACTTTATGCTGGGTGCAAAAATTTCCGCCCTACTTGTTCGGCTTCTTATAGGTGGATTTCCGACGCAATTTTAAGTTGGGAAAAAAAGCCAAAGTAGGGCGGATCTGGAGTCAGGGCTCCTCCTCCTCCTCCTCCTCCTCCTCCTCCTCCTCCTCCTCCTCCTCCCCTCGGCACTCCGCCTCCCACCGACTCAGGAGTATCGACGGTCGGCGGGGCTAGGGTTCAGATGTCGCAAGCTGCGGGAGCCGGCGGCGGCGCTGTCAGGGGGCGCCCCCTGCGGGCGAGGAGGCCGCGCCGCTGCCGCCTTGGCGAGAGCTCGCCCAGGCACTTCGGGGGCGCACCACCGAGAGGGGCTGAACGCCCAGAGGTTTGGCAATCATAGAGCCACGACGCCCGGCAGATCACCGTGAGAGCCGAGGGTTGGGCGGAGGAGGAGGAGGAGGACGAGGAGGGAGGGAGGGAGGGAGAGAGGGAGGGAGGGTGAGCACGGAAGGCAGTTTGTGCAGGGTGATTGCGTGCCCTAGTTAAAAGTGGCATACATAATTATGCTAGTTGCGCAGTTCGTACCAGCTTGGATCAGGTTTACGACGTCGCTCAAGGGGTGACCCGCACATGGCCATGGGCCCGTGCCAAAAATAAACAGTATTTCGTCCAGGAGGAAAAATAGGAAACACAACAGGTGAGACCGCAGGTCTGTCCCGTGAGGCCGCAGCTCTGTCCATCAAAAGTTTAATGTTTTCAGGGGGGGAGGGAGGGATGGAGGGAGGCGGGCCGCTGGCGCTGCAAGCCTTCCATCCTTGCACAGGGGGTCCTGCGACTACGGCCGGCTGCGCCCTGGCACTCGCGTCTGGTGGCCCTCCAGCTGCGGTCGTTGCGGGCTGAACTGAAGGTGGCAGTTGCCATTGGGGCTGCGCAGCAGCAGCTGCTTGCCCTGGGTGGCAGCGCGGTGCAGGCCCTTGGTTGGCCAGCGGCGCGCGCGGCCAGGGCGGCGCGGCCTGCGCGGCGCGGCGAGGCGGCGGCGGAGGCGAGGGAGGCGGCAACGGCAGGCTGACCTGGCCGGGCGCGGCGTCCTCACGCGGGGACTACCCTGATTCCGGACCCGCCCTACTTTGGGCAATTTCGCAAGTGGGGCCTGGAATTCCCGCCTTGCTTTTCGAGCCCCGCGGATGCCAATTTCCGCCTACTGTTCTGTTGCTGCTTCCGCCCTACTTGTGTGGATTTCCGCCCTACTTTATGTAGGGTGCGTGACCGAACGTACGTCATGGGAAACGCATAGGATGTGTTTTGTGCTGCGTGGCTGCAGCACGGTTCAGACATTTGTTTCCGTGAGCGGGGTGCCGACATGAGGCGGGACCTCCATGCGCACCTTGCCGTCGGGGCCTTCCGCGGAGCTCCGCGTCGCGCAAGTGCGACCACCATGCGCGCGACAGCGGTGGTGCGCGGGGCGGGTCAGGGCGGTCGCGCGGCAGGCCGGAAATTGGTCGCAAGGTGGGCGCAACCAGTCGACAATCATGAAGCTGTCGCTTGCCATCTCGAGGCTCGCGCTGGCCTTTCCGATGGCGCCCGCATTGCCGCCGAAACGAACGAGAGGCTTTAAACGCGGCGCCGAGGCGGTCCAACGCGCCCCCCCGAGATGGCTGAGATGGCTCAAAGTGGCTCCTCCTGCCGTTTTTCCTCTTGCTCCTCTCCTCCTCCTCCTCCTCCTCCTCCTCCTCCTCTTCCTCCTCCTCCTCCTCCTCCTCCTCTTCCTCCTCCTCCTCCTCCTCCTCCTCCTCCTCCTCCTCCTCCTCCTCCTCTTCCTTCTGCTCATCGTCCTTCTCCATTCCTTCCCAGACATCCGACGCGTTGGCGAGTTCAATGCGCGGCCCCTGGAGGCCTTGACATATCAATGGGACAAAAGTGCATCGTGGGTCTTCGTCTGACGACCCTTTCAGAGCTCCCAGAAGTCGAAAGCGGCGACAATCTTCCGCCTTGATTTCGGGCGCATCCTGAATTTGTTCCTCGCGAGGCAAGCTCCGACAGACTGACAAACTGACAGACAAACGGATTGAGCGACTGACTGACTGACTGACAAACCAGCTGACTGGTCGCGCCAGTTACGCTGCGGTTTTATTTTTCGGCCGCCGAGGGTGCGACCATGGCGAAACCAATCAGAGGCGGTTTTATTCTTTGCTGCCGAGGGCGCAACATATGGCGCAACAAATAGCAGTTGGTTTTATTCCCAGCCGCCGCCGAATGCGCGGCGCAACCCACGGCGCAGCCAATATGGGGCGGGTTCATTCTCGGCCGGCGCCGGGGGCGCGACCCACGGCGCAACCGACGGGGGACGGCTTTACTCTCGGCCGCCGAGGGCGCAATCTATAGCGCAACCAATGGGAGACGGATATATTCTTGGCCGACGATGGCACGACCCATGGCGCAAGAGCCAAGCGACGGGCGAATTCTCGACCGCCGAGGGCGCAACCATGGCGAAGCCAACAGGAAACAGGTTTATCATCGGCCGCCGAGGGCGCAACCAATGGCGCAATCAACAGCAGGCGGATTTATCTTCGGCCGCCGAGGGCACAACTTATGGCGCAGCCAGCAGCAGACGGTTTAATTCTCGGCCGCTGGGGGCGCAACCTATGGCACGATCGAAAGTCGGCGCCTTTGCTTTCAGCCGCCGAGGGCGCAACCCACAGCGCAACCAGTAGAAAACAATGTCGCTCTCGGCCGCCGAGGGCGCAACCGAAAAGAAACGGTTTTGTCCTCCTTGCACAGGGTGACTGGAGCCCCGGCAGCTTTATTTCGCGTCGCACACCCCTCCGCCCCCAGCTCTTCCCCCAAGGGCTCCGTTTCCTTCGCCGCCCCTCGGTTCCCGGCGGCCGAGTGCCCCCTCCGCCCCGACCGTTATATTTCGCGTCGCCCCGCCCCCCCCCCTCTGCCCCCAGCTCTCTGCCCAGCGGCCCCCTGTCT